GGGATCGGCGGGATCCCCTGGATCTCTGACTCCTTGATTCTGTAGGTGAATTCTATGGGGGAGAGGCAGGTGAATCAGAAGGGGGCTCATTTTCCCCCTCCCCCCAGTGCCCTGTTTGGGATGGGGGGGTCATTTGCTGCAAAGATGGTGGGCAATCCAGACTTGGATCTGGGGAACATACCCCAGATGATGATTCCACACAAGGAGAACCAGAGGGCTTGGGGAGTCAGGACTCCTGGGTTCTATCCCAGCTCTGAGAGAGGAATGGAGTCTAGTGGTTAGAGCAGAGGGGGCTGGGAGTCAGTACTCCAGGGTTCTATTCCTGGCGCTGGAAGGGGAGTGGTGTCTCGTGGTTAGAGCCACAGAACTAGGAGACAAGACTTTCGGGTTCTGTGCAGATGGTGGGGAAAGGAGAGGATTTCAGGTGAATGGTGTGGAGGAGGCCAGGTGGGCTCCTAGAGGCCAGGTGGGCTCCTATAGTCCAGGGAATAGGGGGCACTCCAGGGCAGCAATTCCCCACATGGATTTGGTTAATCTGCAGAACTCCCCGCTACAGGATATAGCGGGGGGCAGAGGATGGGGTGTCATCTGGATGAATGAGAGCAGGGGTGGGGGGATGAATTCAAGGAGGCTCTTGGCCTCATCAGCAGGGGGTTGGGACAGATGCCCCTCTTCTTCGTGGAAGGGAACAGCAAGAGGCATTGTGGGTCAAAGCCAGTCCCGCCCTGCCCTGCCCTGCCCTGCCCAGGCATGTTACCTTTGGCAGGATAGTAGGGCGTGAGTAGGTCCCCGAAGTACCCGTTGTAAGAGCCCCGCTCCACACCGGAGGGGGGCATGTACCAGGAGTTGGGGTAGGTCTCCTCCTCGGATGCCCGCCTATCATTGATATCCGCAGGGTCTGTATACACCACCACACCAGCCACACCAAACTCTGCCCCGTTCACTGCCTAGAGAGTTAGGGTCAGTCAGATTATCCACTCCACCGTCACCACCATTGCAAGGGAGAGCGGGAAGGGCAGCCAAAATGTCCCCCACATACACTGTGTCCCAGTGGAATATGTGTGGTGAGCAGTTCTCTTATTCCTGCCTCTGTTCCCCCTCTTCTAGCTGGCCTTCCCCTGCCCCCACCCTCCTGGGGTGCAGCAATGGCATTCCATGACTGTTCCATCCAGCCCCCCACCTTGAGGTGGGCCACTCTTCTGCCATCCCCCACCCCTGGATCTGTGCAGTGCCCCGTCTGCGGCTGACCAGGCTTTGGGGGGACAGGCCTTGGGCAGGAAATGCATGGGCTGATGGAACTGGGGGAGTGGGAACGGGTGATTGGACTTGGGGGGAAGGGGCCTTCGGTCAGATGTTGGGGGGAAAGGGATTGGAGGAATGGGGAGGGGATGATGGGATGGGGGGCAGGGAGAGAGGTGATGGATGAGAAACAAGGGACAAAGGATGGGGGGTGATTAGGATGGGGGGGCAGAGAGGGAGCAACTGGATGAGGGGGAAGGGATGGGGAAAGGAGCCCAGAGGCCCCCTCTCCAGTGCCACATGAGGGGGAAGCCTGGTGTCTGGGGCCAGTAGGCCCTGAGTACCCCTCACCTTGTCGGCACGGCCGGTCCCCCCGTAGCGGGTGATGGCGATGGTGCCATTCAGGTTGATGCCCATGTTGAACAGCTCCTGGTAATCACTGCGCTTGCCCTGGTTGGCATATATCAGCCTCCCCTGAGGGGAGAAGAAAGGGGTCAACCCCAGGGCGCTGGGGGAGAGAGGATCAGAGGGGCTGCTGGGACGGGATGGGGAGATAAAGTTGCCATGGGGACAGGGCCCACTTGGATCCTTGATGTGAGAGCAGCCATTTGTCTCCATGGGTACATGGCTGTCAGCTTGGTGATGGGGGCCAAGGGGAGGCTGTTTGTCTCCAGGAATATGTATCTGTTGGCACAGCAATGTGTTAGGGGTGTTTATCCCTCAGGATATGTGGTTGTTGGCATGACGAGATGTGGGGGTGGCTATTTATCTCTGGGGGTACATGGCTGTTGGCAAGATGATGTGTGGTGCTTGCTGTTTGTCTCTGGGAATACGTGGCTGTCTTGTGGTGACATTTGGGGTGACTGTCTCTTTGGACACATGGCTGTTGGCAAGGGGACCTGTCTGGGTGGCTGTTTGTCTGTAGATATGTGTCTGTTGCCAGAATGACATGTGGTGCTTGCTGTTTATCTCTGGGATTGCGTGGCTGTTGGCATGGCAATATGTCTTCCTGGCTCCGTGGCCATGTGGTCATCAGCATGGGGATGTGGGGGGTAGCTGTCTGTCTTGGGATACACGGCTGTTGCCACCACAGCCTGAGGGCAGCCATTCAGGATACCCCACCTGTTGGAGTGACAACCTGTGTGATGCTTGCTGTTTGTCTCGGAATACGTGGCTGTCTTGTGGTGACATTTGGGGTGACTATCTCCATGGACATGTGGCTATTGGCAAGGCAACATGTCTGGGTGGCTGTTTGTCTGGAGAGATGTGGAGTGACAACCTGTGTGGCTGGCTTTGGATAAGTGGCTGTTGGCTCGGTGACAGCTGTTTGTGGATACATGAGGACCTGGGCAGGGCGGGGGATTGTCTGTCTCCATAGATACACAGTGGTTGGCATGTCACCCTGGGGACAGAGATCCCTGAGCAGCCTTGATGGGCTCATAAAAGAAGGGACATGGTCCTGACTGGGAGAGGAGATAAGATAACTCGTTGACAGCCCCTGGGTGCAGGGGGAGGGTCTGAATTGAGGCCACAAGGCGGTCACGAGGGATTATACCCAGCCCTGCTCCATACCCTGGGGTTCCCAGGGGGTGCGTAGGCAGCGTACGGCTGAACCACATCTGCATGGGCCTGGTCTGCTGTCACGTTCTTCTCGCTGCGCCGGGTTGTGAAGATCTGGCTGCTGTTCTCCACTGGGGGTGGAGGCAGATCTCGTCAGCTGTGGGGTGCCTGCTGTGGGACATCCCATTCTGACCTTTGCCCCCATCTGCCTCATCTCTCCCTGCTCCCCTCTGCCCTTGTCTGTTCCCAATCCCGTCCCTCCAGCTCCCTGTCCTCAGCTGCCTTAATTCCACCCCCTGGCCTGTCCCCTGCCCCATTCTCCCCCTTAGACCTGCCCCAGTTCCTGCTGCCTGTCCGTTCTCTAGCCCCAGCTGTCTCAGGGCCTATCTAGCACCCCACAAGCCTCTGTGCCCAGCTGCCCCAGTGTCCCCCTCGCCCCTGCACCCATTTGCCCTATCTCCCAGTTCCCCCTGCCCTCCTTCCACCACCCCTTCCAGCCCCCCCTCCAGTACCCTGATCCCCCACTACAGCCCTGTGCCCTGCACACGCAGACCCAGCCCTCACTTGCCCACACACACCCACGGCCACGCTGTTGGGTCTCTGTGGGTCAGGGAAGGACAGGAACGCGCCGTACACATCCTCGCTGGTGCTGTCCAGACCGATCTGTGGGTCCTGCCAGCGCCTCAGCAGCAGCTTTACGAGCTCCTCATCCCCCTTAGTTGTAGCCATGTGGGGCTGGGAGGCCAGGGCTCTGGTGAGGGGTACAGGGGAGTGCCTGAGATCACAGCTCCCTGAGGACTGCAGGTTCTGGTGGGGGATAGAACCCAGGAGTCCTGGCTTCCAACTCCTCCTCCCACTCCCGTTGTAACCACTAAACACCACTCCTCTCCCAGAACTGGGGCTACAAGCTAGGGATACAGGTCCTCTCCCTTGATAGGGGCACTGGTTCCAATCTGGCCACAGGTTGAGAGGAGGCTATCCTGTCCCCGGGGGCAGGGGGGATGGATTGTAGGGGATGATCCTGTATCCCTGGGGGGGAATAGGCTCTAAGGGATGATCCTGCCTTGCACAGCCCAGGAGTCCTGGATCTCCTGAATGTGGGTGAATTCAATGGGGCTTTTCCATCTCTCCTCCCCTCCTTACTTCAGATTCTCCCGGATCTTCTCGCTCTCCACCTGATCCATGAAGCTCTGCAGCAGGGATTCATTCAGATCCCGGCCCACGGTCTGCACCCAGCTGGGCGCTCCCGAGCCATTCCCCCCTTTGGGGATGGCAAAGTGGCCCAACAGAATTCCGACCGTCAGCAGCAGGGCCCCCACAATCACGGCCCCTAGGATCTTCAGCCAGCTCATCCCACAGCCTGCCATGGGCTCCAGCCTCTTCCTGGGGGTGAGGTGGGTGTAGTGGGCCCTTTATAGCAGCAGATGGGGCACTCTGGATCAGCTAACGCCTCTGATCCTGTCACCAGGGTTCATGGGGTTACTCATTAGCTCCCAGATCCACCTAGCCGCCTTATCTCCCTCCCCATGCAATACCCCCAATTCATGGCACTAAGGGATGCCCTTTGGACACCAGGAACAGGGCCATAAAACCGATGTCCCATAAAGGGGAATCAGGAAACAGATGGAAGGGTGGTTGGTGGTTCCATTCCCCACCCCCATTAGGAAGGGCATTGGTGGGGTGAGAGCTTCCCAAGAGAAGACAGGACTCCTGGGTTCTAGACTCAGCTCTGAGAAGGGTGTGGGGTCTTGTGGGTTCAGGTTGGGGGTGTGTGCTGGGAGTCAGGACTCTGGGTCCTATATGTGGCCCTGGGGAAGAAGTGGATTATATTGGCTAGAGCAGGGAGTTGGAGCAGGACTCCTGAGTTCTGTCCCTGGCTCTGGGAAGAGAGACATTTGATGGTTAGAGCAGGGAGACTGGCAGATAGATAGATCTCCTCTTTCAGATGGACAAATGGAACCCAGGCATCCTGGCTCCCAGCCTCCCACCCTAACCCACTAGACTCCACACCCTTCCCAGAGCTGGGGATAGAACCTGCATCTCAGCAGTAGTTGAGGGAATCTTTCTATAAACAGCCCCGTGTCCCACCCCGAAGACGGCTTCATCTCAGCGCCGGGTGACTCTTCCGCATGTGCTGGCCCAGCTCCGCAGGCTGAAATCAAACACCCGTTGGCCTGAGGAGTTTATTCCTTTAACGTCGATGTCTGAAATTTTAATTAAAAGGGGTCGGGTCATGCTGGCGACTCAGTCCAGGCGCCTGTGTACAGGGGTTTGGGGAGGTGGGGGCGGATCAGATCACAGTTAGCAAGGTAAATGCAAATGTATACAGGTGGGGCTGGTGGGGAGAGCAGCAGGGTGGGGTGGAGCTAGAGGGGTCAGCCCAGGATTGATGCTTCTGGCCCCCCTACTGTGGGATCCCCCCTACTTTCCTCTGTCTGTGTCCCCCTCCTTTCTATTTGGGTCTATCCCCATCCCCTTCCCCCACCATTTCTGGTTCTGTCTGTCCATCCCCCAACCCATCCCTCTGGGTATCTATCTCTAGCTGTTTCCTCTCATTTCTCTGGCCTGTCTGTCTGTCCTCTCCCCACAGATCTCTCTGGGTCAACGTGTCCCCCCCACCCCCTCTCTGGTTCTGTCTGTCCCCCAGGCAGTCTGTAGCAAACCCAGACTACAGTTCCCTATGCTCAGTGGGGCACCCCTGATCCCCTGGGCTCCTTGCCGTGGTGAGGGGGTAGACAGTGAAGTGGTAGGGGGCAGCAGGAGGTAGACAGTGAAGTGGCTGTGGGGCAGGGGTCTCATCTGCCTATGGGTCCCCTTACAGCAGTGTGGAGTCCATCACCCCATCCCCACACTCCTGCTCCCTTTGCAACACCTTCTCGCCCTTGGCCCGGGGAAGGGACCCCCCTCCATGCTGGGGCTGGTGCAGCAGGGGCTGCTCCTTGCCCGGACTCTGGAAGTCCCAGTAGTAGCGAATCCGGCGCTGGTGCCCCTTGGCCTGGCCCATCTCGCTCCTGTCCTGATAGCCCCCTCCACTCGCCTTCGCCGGCTCCTTCTCCAGGTGTTGGTGCTGCCTCAGCAGGCTGTCCAGGATCTTCTGAGCTGACTGGTAATCCAGAGACACCCCTGGTTCCTTCTCCCCTAGGCCCTGGCTCCAGGCCTCATCCCCATCGGAGCTGTCGGTGCTGCTGAGCTCCGGCACTGGCACTAGCTCCAGCCGCCCACCGAGCAGCAGGCCCTGCGGGGACGGAGGGCGCAGGGCATCAGTGGGCGGCACGGTGGGCACTGAGGGAGCCACCAGCGCCTCCTGCCTCAGGTAGAGGAAGTGTGGCATGGGGAGGGCATGGACCTGGGCCCCTTCCTCCGCACTGCACTCACTTTCTGTCGAGTTGACGTGCTCCAGCAGCTCTCCAGGGCACTGCTGCTTCCACGGCGTGAAGGCCGTGGTTCTCCCGTGGCTTTCCAGCTGCCCCGGGGATGGGAGGCTGTGGTAGTTGGGCACCGGAGTCCTGTCTCCGTTGGGCATGGCTGTGTCTGACTCAGAGCTGCAGTCCGGCTTGTTGGCCTCTGTGGCCGAGTCAGACTGGCTGGGGGTGGTGGTGTGGGCATCGGAGGCACTGTCCATGAAGGCGGGAGGGGGCGCCACGTCAGAGATGTGCAGGGAGTAGAGGCTGTCGGCGGAACTGGCCTTCTCCATGTGACGGTGCTTCCCCGCTGATTCTGACAGCAGCATCGAGATCTGCAGGGACGGGGGAGGGGATGTCACTCACACCAGCCCAGTGTGGCCGGGACCAGCGGTGGTTTAAAGCCCAATATCTCCTTAACCGCGAGTGCTATATCTGAACGGTTTGTACCCTCAGCTTTTCAGTGGTGTCAGGCATTTGTTTCGAGCTCTACGAATTGGATTTATCAATCCCGTCAGTCTGATTACCCTCTGGAACTCTGGTGTTAGTTTAGCAGCCTCAAAAACTGCTAACGCTTGCAGCCATCGCTGTTTAAGGTGCAGTATCTCCTCAAGTCTTCAAGCTAATAATGCAAGACTTGCCCTGATGGAAAGCTGGGATTTTCAGCTTTCCAGCAGCATAGGGCCTTTATGTGTAGCCCTGAGGGTTGTCAAGCTATTGGACCCCCCAGTCATATGATTCTGATTACCTTTGAGCTTATTTCCCTGAGGCCAGAGCCGTTTGAAAGGGTCGCAAAGTGCTGGGGCAGATTGAGGCTCCGTATCTCTGACATCGTGGGGGTTAGACCTGGTCTCTCTGCGCTGTTAGAAAGCTGGGGCCCAGCTTTCCAGGGATACACGGCACTAATTCCTCACCTGTTTGGCTCTAAAAATGTGAGGCTGCCACTGGCTCCGGAATCTAGCAACATTTCCTTGGTACTGGATTTTTGACTCCACAGATGGAAGCATTTCCCACTCCTTCCCAGCACCACTTCTGCCTGCCCCCTCCCCCCATAGCCCACACGCCACCCCCACTGCCAGGAACCCTCCCCGTGCTCCCCCAGTCTGTGCTCCCCAGGCCGCCCGCCTCCCCCACCCCTGAGCTCACGTTGAGTCTCTCCAGCGTGCAGATGGTGTTCTGGGCACTAATAAGCCTCTCGAGCAGCTCAGTAATGTGCTGGTTCAGGGTTTGTTTCTCAGCTGCCATGCTCTGAGCCTGCGGGGGGAGGGAGACAGCAAAGGGCTCAGGACAGCAAGACTAGATGGTCAGGGGAAGAATGGCCTAGTGCTTGGAGGCTGGGAATCAGGACTCCTGGTCCCCCAGCGCTGAGATGCAGCCACCTCTGGGGTGGGATATGGGGGCTGTTTAACATCTGCACAACAATGTTGGACAGCATTTGAAGATATGACATGTGGGATGATCCTGTGTCTGATTGAAACTGCCAGGCAGGGAGCAATTTAGGCCCATGAAGTGGTTTGGGATTTGGCTGGGATACCCTAGTTAATATCCAAATCTCTGTGCAAATTGTCAGGGCAGCTGAATACCCTGGTGGGGGGCGGGGGAGAGAGATTTGGCTTCATGTCTCATCAGAACTATGGGAGAGATTGTGGGATGGAAAAATCAGACCCCCACGTCCCTCGGGAGTGTAGCTACATGGTGCACTTAATATATGGATAGAGCAGCTGTTAGAGGCTCAAATACCACGGTGATGGGCCCAGTGTAAGAGCCTACATTGAATGAGGTAATGGGTTGTTCCCTGTCTGGGCAGCTGAGTCTCCAGGGCTCATGGATCTGACCATGGGGTTGCTCCCTTTCAATGTGGGGGTCTGTAAGCCCAAATCTGGGACTGCTCCCTGCCAGCAATGAAGCTGCCCTTACAATGAGGTGAAGTTTCTCCTCCAGCAGCTGGTTGGTGCGTTGGGTGTTGGAATAGTCCTCCTGCAGCCTGGGGGGGAAACAGACAAGAGATTGAGACTGTCTTGAAAACCTCCCTACAGATGCAGGGATCTTTCACCTGGTGCTGAGATGGCGTGTGGGGGCTGTTCATACAGGGATCCCTCGTCCGGTGCTAAGATGCAGCCGCCTCTGGGGGGGAGGGCATGGGAGCTGTTTATATAATGATCTCTTGCCCAGCATTGGGTGGCACTGTGCTGGGGTATGGGGTCAGTGCTGATTGTGAGGGGAAAGCACCCTATACTGAGTCTCCACCGCATCCTTTGCAGGACTGTGAATTTTCTTTGGAGGTTTCCCGTCCAAGTATTAGTGAGACATAATTCTGCTTAGCTTGCAAGATCGATCTCGGGACCCTGTTTTGCCGAGTGCCCGACAGACAAGCATACAAACTAAGAACCCATGTGACTTAGTGTGTGATTGATGGAGGCAGTGGGATACATTCCCAATCTCTACCTTCTCTCAGTATAGACATAATTATTGTTAATGGGGGCTGGTCTCTTACAGGCTCCTGTGTTGCTGGCAGTGTAGCGGAGGCCAAGGGGAGCCATGCCACGTGGGTTGGACAGTGCCCAGAAGGGCCTAGGGTGACAAGAAACTTGAACCTCAGGGAGAAGCGAGGGAGGGACTCAGAGCTGTGCAATGGCAGGAGGTGCTACTGGTAACCCAGCTCCACCAATCAGAGCTCTTTGTACCTACAGTGGGGAGTCCCACAGGTTAGTTGTGCATGTGGGGAAGGGTCCTGTCTCCAAGGAGGTAGTGTTGTGAGAATAGACTTGATGCCTCCAAGAGGGGTGGGGCTATAACAGACTCAACCACCAAGCGAGTGAACTGGAGAGCAGGCTCTGCCCCCAAGGGGCGAAGGGCTATACTAGACTCTGCCTCCTGGTGGGTGTGGCTATGAGAGCAGACTCAACCCACAAGGGGGTAGGGCTGTAATAGACTCCACCTCCTGGGGGAGTGGCTGTGAGGAGGCCCCACCCACCCAAAGGCCAGGCTTCTGCATCCCTTACCTGCTGAACTTCTCCTTCAGCAACTCCAGCTCTTCCCAGGTCTGCTGCAGATCCTGCTGCCCAGCAGGGCCAGACTTGGCCCCTGCACCTGCTCCTTCCGCCTGCTCCACGCCATGGTCTCTGGGCAACCTGGGGTCACAGAGAGCACTGGCAGTGGGGAATCTGAGCCCCAGATGTCTTGTCATGCCAGAGCCCTGGACCTGGCTGGAGTGACTGGAGCTAGGACCAGGATCCATCTGGGCCAGAACTGCTGGCCTGCTCCCCTGTTGGATCTTTGAGCTGCATGCCCCCCTCTGCCTACAGCCCTCCATCGGCGCTCCCCCTGCAGAGCCACTCCAAGGATGCAGGGGGCTCTTAGAACACACCCATCCCCATGTATTCAAGCGCAGTCCCCCTCACACCTCTGGGGTACTAAGGCCCCTTTGTACTCTGTGGGGTGGAGACTGCCCCCTGGGATTCCTCCCTATAGCTGGGGAGTAGCTGGCATAAGGGCCCTGCACTGGTCCTGTTTTCAGCAGAGGGGTTGTGGCTCAGCGCTCTGGCTGTTCTCTGCCCCCTAGGGTCGTGAGAGGTGGATCAGGGATGTGGTTGGCGTGCACTGCGCTCTGGCTGTTCTCTGCCCCCGGGGCCATGGGAGGTGGATCAGGGATGTGATTGGAGCGTGCTGTGCTCTGGCTGTTCTGTGCCCCTCCCCCTGGAGGCTGTGGGAGGTGGATCAGGGATGCGGTTCGAGCGCGCTGCGCTCTGGCTGGTCTGTGCTCCTCTCCCCAGAGGCCGTGGGAGACAGATCAGAGATGCGGTTGGAACACGCGCTCTGGCTGTTCTGTGCCCCTCCCCCCGGAGGCCATGGGAGGTGGATCAGGGACGCGGTTGGAGCGCTGTGCTTTGGCTGTTCTGTGCCCCTCCCCCTGGAGGCTGTGGGAGGTGGATCAGGGATGTGATTGGAGCGTACTGCGCTCTGGCTGTTCTGTGCCCCTCCCCCCGGGACCGTGGGAGGCGGATCAGGGATGCGGTTGTACTGCGCTCTGGCTGTTCTGTGCCCCTCCCCCCGGGACCGTGGGAGACGGATCAGGGATGTGATTGGAGCGCACTGCGCTCTGGCTGTTCTGTGCCCCTCCCCCCGGGGCCGTGGGAGACGGATCAGGGATGTGATTGGAGCGCGCTGCGCTCTGGCTGTTCTGTGCCCTCCCCCGGGACCGTGGGAGGCGGATCAGGGATGCGGTTGTACTGCGCTCTGGCTGTTCTGTGCCCCTCCCCCCGGTACCATGGGAGGCGGATCAGGGATGCGGTTGGAGCGCGCTGCGCTCTGGCTGTTCTCGGCTGTCGCAGGAGGCAGCTTCGGCCGATGGCCAGAGCGCACTGTGCTCTAGCTGTAAGTCAGAGGTTGAGCAACCCTGAAACTGTCCTGACACTAAGATATGGGTATAAAGGAGGCTTGGATGGGGTATGTAGGAACTGGGCATAGAATCAGAAGTGTAGGGCTGGATGGGACCTCGAGAGAGATCTATTCCAGTGCCCTGCACTGAGGCAGGGCCAAGTAAACCCAGAGCATCCCTGACAGGTGTTTGTCCAACTTGTTCTCAAAACCCTCCAATCATGGCGATTTCTCCATCTCCCTAGGTAACCTGTTCCCGTGTTAACTGTTAGAATGTTTGTCCTAACGTCTAATATAAATCTCCCTTGCTGCAAGTGAAGCTGGTTCCTTTGTGTGCTGCAGAACAACTGATCTCCGGCTTCACTGTACAAGCCATTCACATACTGAAGGCTCTTCTCAGGTCCCCCATCAGCCATCTCTTCCCTAGACTGAACGTGCCCAACGGGTCAGGCTTTCTAAACCTCGGATCGTTTTTGTTGTTCTCCTCCGGACTCTCTCCAGTTTGTTCACCTCTTTCATACAGTGCGGGGCCCAGCCTGGACACAACACCCAGCTGAGGCCTCGCCCATGCTGAGCAGAGCGGGACAGTGACCTCCTGTCCCTTACACACAGCTTAAATGGAACATGCATCTTGACTGGAGGCTCCAAGGTATGTGGCATGTGGTCAATACTCACTTAGCTGGCTCCGTATCGGCTGTCTGCAGCTGCAGCTCCTAGATAGACAGACAGAGACAGACTTCAGCAACAACCCAAGTCTTTGTAAAACGCCACCAATGCCCAGCACAAGATCTCAGAGTGGGTGAGTCTACGTAGCTCCCTTGAACATAGAGGGAAAGTGAGGCACACAGCGGGGAAGGGACTTATCCCCAAGGTCGTACAGAGAGTTGGGAATAGAACCCAGGCATCCTGACTCCCAGCCCCCTGCTCTACCCACTAGACCCCACTCCCCTGCCAGAGCTGGAGATAGACCCTCTGCTCCCTGGGAGGAGGTGACAGGCTGCAGAGTGAATTGTATCTGGCCCTTTGTCTGGACGGTGCTGATGGTTTGGGGGGTGGGGGGGTTGGGGCTGCAGTTGGCTGGGTGATTGAAGGGGAGGGTCGGGAGGAAATGGGGGGCACAGGATCTAAGTGTTTCTGGGGTAGGAGGTGGGGTTGGGGCTGCAGGCACGGGTGGGTGCAGGGAATGGGGGGATGAGATGGGGTTTTGGGAGGACCTGGTTGGGGCTGCAGTATAACCCTGGGGAGGTTGGGGGAATCTGTTTGGGGCCGCAGGGTGTGGGTAATTCTGGTTGGGGGGGATAACCTGTTGGTGCTGCAGGGTCCAGAGGACCTGAAGGAGGTTGGTGGGGGGGTGGGGTAAAAATCTGTTGGGGCTGCAGGGCCCGGGAGGAGTTGGCCGGGGGGCGGGGGGGGAATCTGTTGGGGCTACAGAGCTTGAGTGACCCAGGAGGGGTCAGGGGGGGATCTGTTGGGGCTGCAGGGCCCGGGAGGAGTCGGGGGGAGAATCTGTTGAGGCTGCAGAGCCCGAGTGACCCAGGAGGGGGTGGGGGATCTGTTGGGGGCTGCAGGGCCTGGGAAGAGTTGGGGGGGGATCTGTTAGGGCTGTAAGGCTCAGGGGATGGGGGCAGGTCAGGAAGGGATTTGGGTGGGGCCGTAGTGCTGAAGGGACTACTCTACTGCCACCTACCTTGCAGTGGGCCCCGCCTTGTTGTGTTGTCCCTTCTGGCTGCTCCTTGCCCCAGGGTTCCTTGGGGGGGCTGCCCCGCTCCTTCTCCACCTTCCTGGGGGCAGAAGGCTGCTCATGGCCCTCGGTCTCCTCCCCGTGGCCTGGCCTGCCTTCCCCAGGCTTCCTCTGCTCCTCACCGCCTGGCCTGGTCTGGGGGGCCACGCCCAGCTCCAGGCTGCTGACATTGTCCATGTGCCCGGAGGGAGCTGGGTTGGTGTGATCCCCCCGGGGGCCTCTCTTCCTGCCGTGGGGTCCCCTCTCCTGCTGGCACTGGCCCTCCCGGCTCTCAGCCAGGGACCCCTGGGAGCTGCCTTTGCTGCCGGAGCTCTTGGACTCAGAGCTGTCGGTGCCAGAGCCCTTGCCGGCACTGGCAGCCTCTGGTGGCTTCCAGCCCAGGGAGCTGAGGATGGAGGGGCTCATGACCTGCCTGGTGATCTCGTTGAGGAACTCAGAGAACTTCAGCTTCTCCTCTACTAGTTTCATCTGGTCCATGCTGTGGTGCTTCTTGGTGACCCCCAGCTCCGGCAGCAGCTCCAGCTCCTCCTCGGCCCTGGGGGGCGGCAGGCCCCGGGGCTCCCTCTCGCCTGCCCGCACAGGGAAAGTCTCAATGGACTTGGCCTTGCGGAGCCCGTCACCCTTGGCAACAGCCCCATTCTTGAGGATGCCTTTGCTGGGTGCCGGGGCCCCTGCCCGTTTGTGCAGCCGTGGGGCCAAGATCTCGGTCTGCTCATTAAAGACCAAGCTCCTCTCCAGGCTGCTGGCTTTGTAGAGCCGGCTCTCCCCGCCGGCCTGGGCAGGAGGTGGGGACTGGGCCTCCCGGGGACCCCGCTGCTGGGACAGCCGGTCCACGCTCTGGCTGTGCCCCTTCTTCAGCCTGGGGAAGGAGACGGGCTCCTCAGCCTTGTAGCTGGCAGTCCCCTCCCCTCCCCGGCGCAAGGCCCTGGCTTCTCTGGAGATGTCCACACATGACTGGGAATGTTGGGGCTGGGACATGGGGCCGCCCACCAAGAAGGCCTCCTTCTCCAGGCTGGCTTCAGAGGACCAGGAGACTGCGGTGGTAGAAGATGCAGCCGAGGAGGAGGAGGAGGAGGAGAAGCGGTCGATCCGCCCCTCCATCCACTGCTGGCGGCACCGGCTCAGCTCCCGCTCTGAGCCCTTCCCCTCCTTGGGGCGCTGCAGCGGGGTGAAGAACTTCTCCATCACCTGCAGCTTCCCAGCATGCACGTGGCCACCATCGGCCTCGTCCCAGTGTGCTGGGGAGAAGGGCCCTGCCTGCCCCTGGACTTTCTTGTAGGATTTCCTGCGGATGGCTGAGGCGCTCATCCTCAGAGCAGGACGCACCATCCAAGAGCTTCTCACGGCACCGGCAATTCCTGCCTGACTCTGACGCCAACCCCTCCCCATGGTTATTTAACTAGACCAGCCTGCTTAGTAGAGCAGAAGCAGCAAGTGTCAATATGATGGGTGCTGGGGCGTGTGATGGAGGCGAGGGAGGGGGAAGGGTGGGTTGCTGGCCGTGTCCACCAACCCACACCTCCCCCCTGTGCCCGCGGATGGCCTCACATCAGCATAGCCACTCTGGATGTGGGCGGGGACATGGGCTGGCATCTCAGATACGAGGTGCATGGCCCTTTAACTGGGAAAGCTGCTCTGAATTCCTGCTGCATTCAAATCCCAGTGGTTAGGGCACTGGGCTGCCAGTCAGAACACCTGGGTTCTATTCCCAGGTCTGCCACTGAGCCCCTGTGTGACCTCAGGCGAGTTCCTTACCCTTTCTGTGCCTCAGTTTCCTCTCCCACCCCTTCTCTTTTGGGCAGGGAGTCTGTGAAGCACCTGGCACAAATAGAGGTCCTCACCTCAGTCAGGAGATCTGTGCAGAGCCTGGCATAACAGGGCCCTGATCTTGGCCATAATGTGCTGTTGTGTCCCAAAATGTACCCTCTGACTCTGCCAAAATGGAACTGTTGTCTGGTGGGTTAGAGCAGCGCGGGGCTAGGAGCCCGGACTCCTGGGTTCTATCAGCAGCGCTGGGAGAGGAGTGGGGGAAGGGGGACTGGGATTCAAGGGTTGCATGGGATGAGGTTCACTATCTCACAGGCATAGTATATAAAGCGCATTTGGCTGCTGTCTCTCAAACTAACCTCTCCCTTCTTGTGACCAGTTCTTTGCTAGGTCCCAGGCCCCTGCTGAGGCCCTTCCCCGCTCCGGTGTCCTGGGTCTGGTCGGTGCTGGAAGAGCCCTCTGTCCCGGCTGCATACAGCTCTCTTCTCTCTGGGGACTTGGCTAGAGCTCGGTGCCAGCCTCAGGTAAGTGAATGTTGCTCTCACGTGTAGCCCCCATAGGTCCCTGGGTTAACACAAGCGCCACAGAATTGGGACTGACCCAAGCTGGCTTACAAGGGCTCGTGTTTCTTGAGGCAGTGTGGTTTGACAGGTAAGGCACTGGCCTGGGAGTCAGGCCAAGCTGGGTTCTATTCCCAGCTTTGCCACTGACGTGTTGCGTGACCTTGGGCATGTCTCTTCCCCTCCCTGTGCCTCAGCTTTGTCTCCTTCCTTTCATCATAGGAACGGTCAGACCAATGGTCCATCCAGCCCAGTGTCCTGTCTCTGACAGTGGGCAGGTGCTTCAGAGGGAATGAGCAGAACAGGGCCATTTTGAGTGATCCGTCCCTGTCGTCCAGTCCCGGCTTCTG